ATAGATGGAGAAAAGATTGAAACTGTCAATGATTTCCTTTACTTAGATCCACAATAAATACCCATGGCAGCAGCAGTTAAGAAATCTAAAGACTTTTACTGGGGAAATTTGCTGTCAAGAACTTCTTTAGAGTTCTAAAGAGCAAGGATGTCAGTTGAAAGACCAAGGTGTGCCTGACATCCTAGATTCTGACAGTTGGACTGTGAATAAGGAAGAATGAGGGAGAATCAAGGCCATTGTATTGTGCTATTGGCCAAGAGTATTAACTATACTTTCGACTACCTAAAAGAACAAATCTGTCCTAAAAGAAGCTCAAGGAATATTCTCCTTAGAGACACTGATGGTGAAATATCACCTCACATACTTTGGGGGATATTTTCAGAAGGGCCAGTCCTTGGAAAAAGACACCATGCTGAGAAAGGTACAGGTCAGGGAAATAGAGGAAGACTCTAAATGAGACAGATTAGCACAGTGACCACAACAATGGGGCTGAGTGTGGCAGAGAGGGCAAGGACGAGTAGGGCAGGGTTCAGAACTCTTGTTCATAGGATTGTTATGGGTCTCGGCTGATTCAATGATACCTAACAAAAACAACAATGTTACCACCTACTTTACAGGTTTTTATAACCAGGAGAATTCTAAAACCACTTCTGCCATCTTTATTCTGGTAAATACCCATCCCCCAAAATTCTACCAGACTTTTCTGGAAGTCAGATTACACCAAGAAAAGACTTCCAACTCAAATTAGTTTTGGGTAAGTAAACAACACCATCATACCAGATATAGATGAGACATCACCCTCACCAGAGAAATTATCCCTGGTAGTAAATGGAAGAACAGAGACACTCAGTCCTGCTTAGTGACAAGAAGACAGTCTGGGAGCGGAAGTGCAGAGACAAGGACCTTTCTCCAAAATTGCCCTAGAGAGAAATCCTTCCCTAAAGCTGGTACTTGGGTTTCAACCTTGGAACCTCCTACACTCATGAGATACTGGCAGCAATGTGAGAGACCTGCAGCAGTTCAAGGTGTGAGGCATCACAGAAATGACCTGAGGCCTGAGCCTTCATATCAAGGGTGGCAGGTGGAGGAAGGTGCTGACCAGGTTAGATGGGGACAGGGTGGGGGTTGCTAGTGGAGCGGGGAAAGGGACATGACCAAGACACATGTGTCAAAGAGCGGGGCAATACTCAACTTGTTACTTATATAATGGGGAAGTGTCATTCATAGACTCCTTTTGGTAAAATGCTTGTCTGGCAGATATTGTGCTAAAGCTGCATATTCAAATTATGACAGACAGAAGAATTGGCCATCCACTTCCAAAATAATAGGCCTTCAAAAATCCTGTATAAATCTCCTTTACTTCCTGAAATTTGTTTTCTAATCTACATTTTCATTCTCTATTTGTTAGACATCTTACACTACAGTGGGCAGGAAAATGTCATGAAAATATCTTCTAACTGAACAAGACATGCAGCTTCAATTCAAGACCACCAGTACAGTGTTAAAGTGGGCTTCCCTTCCAACTTCATCTTAATGTATTAAGTGTGAAGCAGCCAGAGTCAATGTCCCTATTCCCAAAAGGGGAAACCACAAATAAAAAAGGCCAATCTCTTTGTAAAGAAGCCCCCTAGAATCAACCCAGAACATTTGCCCTAAATCAGAACAACTTTTTGTTAAAAACCTGTCTTATAAGAAGAGGGGAGAATGATGAGATAGTATTAATAAATTCGGAATTATCCAAATATATGTTAATGTAGTTATAAAATGGGCATTACTTGACTCCAGTCTATAAAACTAGTTACTTTGCCTTAGAATTCTTTTTTCCTTTCTTTAGTCATTTAAAGTTCTTTAAATAACCTATTTATTTACAGGAGAGGAAATGTGTCATTCCTAGATTAGCATTTACCTCTTTGAAATAGTTTTCTCAGTCTTATGTAAATTGTACCTTAAGCTACCTATTTACCAGGAAAAGTAGAAATCCTTTAACTTTAACTAACAAAACATAATATGTTAAGTACATTAACATCTAGACCAAGTATAAAAGCCTAATGACCACTCCCCAATGAATCTTACTGCTCTCCTAGGTCTGCAATAAAGTGTTTTGAATATTAGGGAAAAAAACCCAAAACACCAAAACGACTACAAAAACTCTATATGTAAAAGATGTACAACTTATTGCTGTTGTTATGTGTTGCTGAGTTGACTATGACGCATAGTGACTTTAAGCAAAAGAGCTCTGAATCTTGCTCTATTCTGAGCCAATCCCACTGTCCCTGACACAGCTACCCTCATTAGCGCAGTTATTGTGTCAATCCATCGCAACTGGGTTTTTCCTCTCTTATGCTGTCCTTTGATACTTCCAAGCATGTTATCTTTCTTCAAAGACTGGTTCGTTCCGGGTATATCCCCAAAGTCTGTGAGACAGAATCTCAAAATCCTTGCCTCCAAGGAGTAACTGGGTTTCACCCTTTCCAGGACAGACCTATTCGTTTTCTTGGCAGTCCATGGAATGTTTAACACTCTTCTCCAGCACCACAATTTACTTGCCATGCGTGAGAGAGCTGGATAATGACCAGGGATGACAGAAGAATAACCGATGCCTCTGAGTTGTGGTGCTTTGGAGAAGGATATCATGCTTGGAAGGGTCAAGGAACAGCTAGGAGAGGAAGACCCCGGATGAGCTGGATTAACACAATAACTGGGATAATGATGATAAGTGTGTCAGAGACAATAAGAGTAGCTCGGGACAGAGCAGAGTTAAGAGCTATCATATATAGGGTCACTATGAGTCATAGTTAACTTGACAGCACATAACAATAACAACACTGCTGTTTTCAGTTGCTACTGAGTCTATTTAGATTCAGAATGACCTTGTATGTGGAGTAGAACTGCTACTTTTGTAGTTGTGACCTTTAGGAAATAGATTGGTAGATCTGTCTTCTGAAGCACCAGGGGTGGTTTTAAACTACCAACCCTTTATCGAGTCATGGAGCATTTAACCATTTGTGCTCTCCAGGGAAACTTCATTAGCTTGTAATGATATTAAAAGAAGCCCTAATGGCTTAGCAGTAAGGACTTGTGTCCACAAGCTGCTCTGTGCGAGAAAGATGAGCAATCTCCTCTGTTGTAAATTACAGTCTCTGAAAACCTGCTCGAGGGTAATCTATGAGTCGGTTCCCATTTGAAAGTACATAACAACAACAACCAGCAAAGCAAAAGAGTAGATGTCATATTGGTTACCACACTACAACATTTTAGCTGCAGAAGCTCCTCTGCTCTGGGCAGAATGGAAGATATAGCCTCTGCGGATCTATGTTTTAGTAAGAGTACCTTCCCTCATCCCACTCTCTCCAAAATAAAATGTCCTTATTCAGAGAAGCTTGTTTCCTGACAAAGAGTGCGGTAGAAGTGTGAGAACAGTGAGAGACTAGGGGAAAGAGAACTCTGCTAAGAAAGTGAGTAAAAATGCTTTGAGGGGGTAAAGTGACCCTGAGTCTCGGCTTATAGGGTCCTTTTTCTCTCCCTGTCCCTGAAGTGGAGGGACTGCAATGATCAGAAGCAGTAATGGAGGCCAGAATTTGGATGAAGTAATTTCTCCAGTTTCTGTAAGTCAGATCTGTTAGTGTGAGGCTCCCTCCATCTCTTCCTTCTCTCCATGGTTATGGCAGATGGAGGGAGTCATTGCTAGCTGCACACTCCCTGTTGGGTCAGTTTTGTTCTTCAGAAGAGTAGAAAGTAAGTTACCAAAACCCCTAGACCCAGTCCTCTGTAGGGCTCAACAGTTCAGGCTCAACTTCCGAAGTTATGCCTTCAAACTCACGCCTTCCTCTCTGTGAATCAGGAGTGACTCATAGTTGACCCTCCAGGGGATTTGTGGGAGACTGTAAAGCATCCAGGAGGAGACTGCCCACTCCAAAGGAGTTACTGGTGGGTTAGAAATCCCACAGTGTCGATGCCGTTGGGTTAGGAGCACGATTCCCTTCAGACTACTCTATCAGAGTGCCCTCGTTACACTAAGAAGGCTCCAACTCACAGGGTCCTACAACGAACTGCTGATTTTTCCCCAAACCAGGGCAACACCGGCCCAGAATTTGGGCTCCCACTCTGATTTTTTTTTTTAGCTTGCTAGACTGTGGAAAGTCCTGGGCATGTCTGATTTCTCATGTCTAACTAGGACCAGCCATCCTTGGGTGTAAATCAATGCTTTAAAATATACAAGACTATGCAGTGTGGAAAAAGGATATGAATGCCTCCTACTGATGGCAAGAAGCTGTGCTGCTTAGAAGGAGAAGAAATGGGAATCTCCTCAGGCGAGATTACCTGCCTCTGAAAACCTGCTGGAGGGTCAGCTATGGGTCTTTTCAGACTCTTGGGTACACAACAACAACATGGATATATTGTGAATTTTCTCAAGAAACCTGTGAACCTAGTTGTTTGTTGCACTTTTAGGACAAATAATGAATTCTCTGAACTTCTGCACAAGCGACCCTCTACAAGGACTATTCTCAAAAGCAGTAGAAAACTATGGATTTGGTACCACATTCTCCCCTGGAAGAAAGAGAAGGCAGTACAGACAGAGGTGGTGAGTGGAGGGTACCAGAGGCAAGCTGTGAGTCCTGGTAAACAGGTGTAACAAATATAACCATATAAAAGTGGGAGGCTCTGTTCCTGAGGTCCCGAGCCAGGGCAGCAAACAGTGGGACGGAGATACTGTACAGGGGCTTCTGACTGACAGGTGGCAGGCTGGACCGGCTCGGAGGAAGGCAGAGGCCCTTTTTCCACTGTGACACAACACCAGCAGAAAGGTGTCCTTATACTGGGCTTAGAGAAGGAAGGAAGTGGGGTAAAGTTCAGAAGCAGGAGAGGAAGGTTAAGCCTTTTACAAATTAGGACATCTTTTCACACGTTGCAGAAAGTCTGTACCATAGTAGAAAGGGTGGAGATCAAGGGAGGTGTCAGGCGGCCGCGCAAAGGTGGGAAGCCAAAGCGGAGCGACTTACTGTGAACGGCAAGGAGCAGATGACGAAGGTAATAGTCATGATGGCCAGGAGGATGAGGTGGTCCGTCTCCTCGGCCATGGAGAGCCGTTCTCCTCTCCGACGGGTCCCCGGGCCGCCCCGGCCGCTGCCCAGGGAGGGTCCGCAGCGACTCCTCTTGCTCCGTCGGTGCATGCGGATAAGATTGCAGATGACACTGATGTTGCAGGCCAGCACAGCGACGATGAGGAGCAGGAGCAGAGTGGCGTAGAGCTGCAGGTACTGATTGGGCCCGTGCCGGATGAAGCACCACGTCCCGGGACAGTACTGGACGTACTGGCTGTCCTTGCCGTCCTGGCCGTAGAAGAGGAGCGGCAGGGAGCAGAAGAGCAGCGAGAAGATGTAGATGGCCGGCAGCACGGCCAGGCCGGCGCGGTGCGAGACGCGGCGCTGGTAGAAGTAGGGGTGCCCGATGGCCAGGTAGCGCTCCAGGGCCATGGCGAAGAGCATGAGCATCGTGGCCAAGCTGAAGAAGGTCATGGCGAAGGCGAAGTAGGTGCACGCGCGCCTCTCGGGCGCCAGCGCCACCAGGGTCTGGTTCCGCGCGTACGACGCCAGCACCACGGGGCTGATGAGGCAGGTTCCGAGCAGATCCGTGAACACCAGCTCCGTCACCAGCACGTGGAACAAGGACAGGGCGCTCCCCCGGCTGGCGCTGCGCCCCAGGTCCCCCCGCCAGCGGCGCGCCAGCAGCGCCAGGGCGATGAGGTTTCCCAACACCCCGGCCGCGAACATCACCGAGCTGATGGCTGGGCTTTCGCCCGATTTGAGCCATTGTCGATCCGTGCAGTTCTCCTTACTGGACTCATTGTTCATGATGGGGGTCCCGGGAGCACGGGCGCTCCCTCCTTCCCACCTACACCAGAGAGGAAGGTTTGATGGCCGGGGTGCTGAGAGTCCCACAAGCGAAAGGCGAGGGACCGAAATCCTGAGCCCCCTGCCGTCCCCCTGCGCGCGCCCAGGGCAGCCTGGACCCGGAGTTTCCCGCCGCGCCCGGGGAGTTCACTCGGCTGCCGCATCCGGACGGCGCCCGGGACTGCAGCGCTGACCCGAGCGCTCGGGGCTCAGCGCCCGCACCGACCGGTAACCGCCAGCGCCGCCCCCGCGCCGCCCCGGGGCGGGCCCAAGCGTGGAGTCACCACCGTCCTAAGAGTGCGTGTCCGCCTGCTGAGCCACTACGCGCGGGGCGGCACACTCCGCTGGGGCGCCCCGAGTTCTGGCTGCGAGGGCGGGGCCAGGGTCGGGGCGCCCGCCGGCAGATTGCGGTTCTGGGCACTCCGGGAGGGGCTCTCACCTACGTTCCCTGCCCGTGGGGAGTTGCGTCCGGAAAGTTGCAGGGCCGTCTGAACTGGGTTAGAAAGCATTTAGCCTTTAGCGTTTAGCTGAAGCCAATGGCCGGGAGGCCTGTGCAGAATTCACCTTAGACCAGGGCAACATCACAAAATGCAAACCGTCTTACCAAGCAGTGAAGTCCCAGTGCAGGGAAATGTGGAGAACAAGGGAACAGCAGCTGTCAAAGAAGGTGGACAGTAAGACCACTGGGTGGGTCTCTCAGAAAAGTGAAGAGCCTCTATCTCCAAGGAGGCAAACAGCACATCCCTGAACTGGTGGTTGGATTGTTGCTTCGGTTTTGATTCCATTACAAGTTCGCTTTTTCCTATGTCAACACCATAATGGGTAACATCTCTTTGAGCAATCGTTCAAAGAAAAGTAAAGGGGGAAAACCCATATGTAGGTAATGTTCCATGTAAGTGTGTGGACACAGGAAAACCACCGCCTCCCACCTCATTGTTCTCTGCTCAAGCTCCTCCTCGGAAGAAAATGTGGACAGGTTGTTCAGCTACCAGTCTTTCCACGTTCAATTAACGAGCAGGGACCATTCAGAAATACTTATTCCTGGTGAAATTTAGTAGCAGCAAATGGGCATTTTCAGAGGAACTGACGAAAATTGTTTTTCATCGAAGGCACAGTGTTTTCAATTGTTTCTTATCCACCTGAAAGCTGGACGTTTGAATAAAGATGGCAGAAGAAAAACTGATGCCATTGAGTTGTGGTGTGGGAGTACTGAATATCCCACAGACTGTCAAAAAACAACAAATAAGTCTGTCCTGGAGGAGATGCAGCCAGTGTGCTCCTTAGTGACGAAGATGGTGAAATTTCATCTCACATACTTAGGGCATGGTGTCAGCAGAGGCCAGTCCTTGGAATAAGACATTATACTGAGAAAGGTGGAAGGTCAGAGAAAGAGAGGAAAACGCTCACCAAGATGGTTGCTACAGTGACTATAACAGTGGGTTTGGGCATATCAGATGGTGCAGATTGGCAAGATCAGACGGGTTGCTTTTAGTGTAGTCAAATCTTGACGACAGCACCTAACTAACCACAACAATACGCCACCTATTGTCGTAAATCCTAGAGTTGTGAAATGAGTTACTGTTTTCTCAAAAATCCAGTTTGACAGACAATGTAGGTAACCATGTTCTAAAAGGACCTCTGGTGGCCTAGAGGTTAAAGAGTGTGCTCCCAATCCAAAGGTTGTATTATGTACCCCTGAAGACAGAACTGACCCTTAGCTGACGCACCAGTGAGTATTCAGAGGCAGTAAATCTCATGGAGGAGATTACCCATCTTTCTTCCCTGGAGCAGCAGATGAATTCAAACCACTTGCCTTTGAGATTGCAGCTCAACTTCTTAGCACTACTATCAGTCAGTGCTTCCAAAGGTAGCCATCTCAAATCTATCAGTTGCTCTGTGAGAGAAAGATAGGCACTCTCCTCTCGAGGGATTTACAACCTCTGAAAAGTCTGCGGGGAGAGTCAGCTATGAGTCCATTCCAACTTGATAGTAATGAATTATTTTATTTTGATACTATATTTTTTTAAAAACTAAAAGCCACTTTAAGAAGACAAAAGCTGGAGAGTCTATGGAGTGTTCTGGAATGAAGAGTCAGTCCACTGAGGAGCAAACCCAGCAGCGAACAGTTCAGCTCATCTTGATGAGGGTAAGGAGCTTTGGTGCTACTGTAGTCAAGGTATTAGATTGCTACCCACATGTTGCTGGTTTGCTGCTCCACAGGAGAAAGACTTGACAGGCTGCTTCTGGAAACGTTTGCAGCTTTGGGAATCCTAAGGGAGTAGTTCTACTATCTTAGGATCACTAAGAGTTGGAAACGACTTCATAGCATTGAGTGAGGGATTTTTCTTTAAATTACTTATATAATGATGTTAATGAGTCTGGTTTGGGGTTTGGAATGCAGAAAGAATTCTCAACAGGCCAAGGGCCATTTTACTGGGTCACTCGGAGTCTCTGGTGGTGCAGTTAACGGTCTTGGCCACTAACCGCAGGTGGAGGTTGGAGGCTCTCAGAAACTAGGTTGGTTATCTCTCTAGTGCTGAAAAATCACGTGCCAGCAACACCATTCTACTCTGCCACACATGGAATTTGATGCTGGAATCTACTCCACAGCAGTTACTGTTAACGTTGCTTTGTTTTGTTCACACTGTGTTTTTTTGCGATCATTCCCATATGTGTCTTATAAAATTAATCACCACTGATCTATGCCCACTATTGCTCTGCAAGTGCCTTTTCAAAACTTACCTGTTTGTTTCCCATGCTTACAGTTTGAACTTTGCATATTAGTTCCCTTTACTTCTCAATCACTAAAATTTGGATAGCCTGGATTCCTAGGAAAAACTATCTTAAGCACAGTTTTGTTTTGTTTTTTCTTCCAGAATGGAAACTGCAGGTCAGTAATACCCTATTGCCAACTTTCTTGACCCATTTCTGGCTTACTTCTCCACCACAATCTTCCCCCATCTTGGCTCAAGCAATGGAGAGACTTTACCCGAATCAAAGCGCTTCTTTTCTATTTTCATAAAAGATTTTATAAAGAAAACCTATTGGTAAACCTTACCTCTATATTCACTTCTATTTTCCTTTGAAGAGATACCTGGGAGCAGGCCTGCTCCTAATTTTTGTGGATACCAGACCAAGCCAGTGTACAATAAGGGATCCTTATTCTAGAGTCTTCCTGACATCTCTTTCTAATCTTCACCCTTGAAGCAGTATTGAATTATGAGGAGACTTGCATAAATGTGGACAACTCGGTCCCTCACAATCAAACTCTGAACAGATCCCTCCCTGCCACCTCTTGGGTTTGGGCATGTACAGACCCGGGTGTGCTTTTGGATGTTGAGGAAGTGAATGCATGCATTGGCTGTGGGAGTGGATCCTAGGAGCCTGGGAAGTAATGTAGAGTGGATGGAGACATGGCACTGCATGAGTAGGCTTCTTAGCCCCAAGGCTCCTCATTTGTGGATAAGATACATGGCAAGGGGTGGATCAGAATGAGATCCTACAAATCTTGGGGGTTAGGTCAAGGGCCCATATTTCCTATCTTGAAGGAGTACTGTTTGATGACATGTTATCTTGTCCTATCCCTCATTCCCCTTGTTATTGTTGTTGTTATGTGCCGTCAAGTCGCTTGCGACTCAGCGACCCTATGTACAACCACCCTAACCTCTGCTCTATCCTGTGCCAATCACACTGTCTTTGACACACCCATCCCTATTACCCCAGCCACTGAATCAATCCACCTCATAGAGGGCCTTACCTTCCTGCGCTGTCCCTCCACCCTCCCAAGCATGATGTCCCTCTCCAAGGACCTGCCCCTCCTTACAACATGTCCAAAGTATGTTAGACTGAGCCTCAGAATCCTTGCCTCCAGGGAGCAGCCCGGTTTAACCCTTTCCAGGATGAATCTGTTTGTTTTCCTAGCAGTTCACAGTACCCTCAATACTCTTCTCCAGCACCACAGCTCAAAGGCATCAATTCTCCTTCTATTCTACTTAGTCATTGTCCAACTCTCTGATGCATAACAAGTGATTGTGAAGACCATGGCCTGTATCATAAGCACCTTAATCTCCAGAGAGACACCATTGCTCTTCAGTACTTTGGAGAGATCCCTAACAGCAGACTTTCCCATGGCAATGCGCCTTTTCATTTCCTGGCTACTAGTACCAAGAGTGTTAACTGTGGAGCCAAGCAAACTAAAGCTGTGTACAATCTCAATCTCTTCACGATCCATCCTGATGCTGCCAATTGGTCCAGTGGTGAGAATCTTTGGCTTCTTGACATTGAGCCTTAATCCATATTGAAGGGTGCAGTCCTTGAGCCTCTGCAGCAAGCGCTTCAGGTCCTCCTGAGTTTCAGTGAGTTTCAGCAAGCAGGGTTGTGTCATCTGCATAACGCAGATTGCTGATAGATCTTCCATCAATTTTGACCCCGGATAACCTGTTCTGCATTCATTCCCCTTGTTGTTGTTGTTATGTGCCGTCAAGTCGTTTCCGACTCATAGCGACCCTATGCACAACAGCCCTAAACCCTGCTCTATCCTGC